TTCATTCCTTTACTAGGATTGATCTTACGGAGCTGTCTAAAGCTCCTTTCTCAAATCCATCAAACAATCCCAGGGCGACTCAGTTCAAATCATTTTTGGAAGATCAAGTAGCTAAGGGTTTCCCTTCAATGAAGACTGCAGAGTCTATTATCAAGATTTATCCTAGCGTCATTGATCCCAAAACAAGTCAGCCACTTCGATCAGTGATGTGGCCCGCTACTGCTCAAGTAAAGCAGGTTCCCGTTCTTCAAAATTATCCAGATGGATCTCTCGCATCCATGCAATACTGGGTGTTTGATGAATCTGCTGCTGCTGCTGTCATCAAGCTTAAAGACGATTGTATCCGCTTGTATGACAAGAGGGATCTGCTTCAATTTGGCAAGTGGGACATTCATCAGCTCTCTATTCATCAGATCAAGGTGGCTGAAGACATTTTTGAGCCCGTTGCAAAGGAGTACACTTCGATGGTGGCCGAAATTATCGAGAAGGAGATGTGGAACGGAGCTTTGGGAAAATCCGATGTGCTGGTGGTCGACAAAAGTTGAGTCCAAGCTAGCACCAAACCAAGGGGGAGATTGAAGGGTCCAGTAAATGGTTTGGTCTAGGCTTTCATTGTATTTTGTTCGGCATGAGTCTGTAATACTGTTTATGAGTTGTATATGTGTTTTTGGGTCATTATGTGTGTTTACGACCGTAAACTGTGTTTACGGCCGTAAACACGTTTACGACCGTAAACCCTGTTTACGGTCGTAAACCCAGTTTACGGTCCTGTCTAGTATAAATAGTGGAGGTGTTGGTCATTGTGTGGTTGTTGATGCCATTGCGTTTACAGAGTGTTCCATCGAGTTGTACCTGACGTTTTTCTGAATATAAACGTGTGCAAGCTCGATTTATTTTCATCTTATTCTTCTTTTGTGATTGTTTGTTGCTTGATCATTGGTAAAGATCCTTTTCAGGACCTTACACACTTCTAGGGGTTCCCAACCTTTAGCCCGCGCCTTCTCTTTTCTTTTAGTTGTTGCTCGAGTGGGTTGAGTTTCTGCAATAGAAATTCGGAATCAGAAACGATTGTATGTGGTTGTGTTTGTGTTTGTTGAACAAACTCAGGTTGAGACAAAAAATCAAATGGATTAAAATATGAGTCGGGTTGTGGTAGTGTTTGTTTGTGTTGGTCGTTATGGAAAATACGGAAGCATACCGCCATAGTGGTAATACGGAGGCGAAAAAATCGGTTGATCAAATGAAGGTATTGGGGTTGTGGTGTTTCTAGCGGGTATTTTTTCGTTGGTAGACCTTTTGGAAGAAGACATTTTGAAAAAATTTGAAGAAAATATGGTAAAATGGTAAGGAGTTTGAGTGAGGATTTTTTAAAAAATGGTAAGTATATATAGGGTAATTTAAAAAAAATACTTTCAAAACTCAAGGACCGTTGAACGGTCAATGAGCACCAACCAATCAAAATTTGCGGTTGTTTCTCGCCATACTGCGGCCTAAACCACGCTTGACCGCACCCAGGGGGCAGTGTTCTTGGTCCATGTGGCAAAACAGCAGCCACTCCCTCTGGCCTAATAAGCTAAGGAACACTTAAGTACTTCCTCTTCTATGTTCAATTGTTCATTTAGAGCAATTGCATTTTGGTCACTGAGTTCAACACTTTTGCATTTTTTGTCTCAAAATAATCGATTTGGAATTTTAATTCTTATTTTCATGTTTTATAATGATTTACATCCATGATTCTATTAACCTAAATAACCCAATTTTTTTATTTTTGTAGAATTACCATTTTGTAATTGGACCAAGGTTGTTAAGATCGGGATCCTATGTAGGATCGCTTTTGAGTTTGCAAGATCGGGATCGGGATCCTAAGATCCCACAAAATAAAATATAATTTTAATTTTTAATTTTAAAACATGAAAACTATTTCAAACATTCAATTTTTCGTTCAAAATTTATAAAAAGACAAAATTGCAAAAATTGTCCCTGTGGTATGCATTTTTTTGGGGTTTTAGTCCAAACCACGATTTTTCTGGATTGGTGGTCCTTTTGAGCTAGTTTCTTTGTGTTTTTGGTCCGTTAGTAAACTGAAAAGACTATTATGCCCTTCTGGTATATTTTTTTTATGCTTTTTCTATTTAATTTAAATGAAAAATAAAATAATACCTAATTTGGGGCCACATCTCTCTCTCTCTCTCTCTCAACACCCAAGAACACATTCATTATCTCAAGAACACATCTTCATAATCTCAAGAACATATTCATGAACTTAAGAATATCTTCCACAACCACCACCCTTTGACCACCGTCCGCCACCACCTTAATCTGCCACTACCACCGTCTGCCACCTCCATATATGGTTCCACCGTTACCCATAATCCCCTTCCCCTCCATCGTTCACCTCCTCCGACAACCTCTTTTCAACCATCTCTGGCAACTGTTTGCGTCTGAACAGGACCATTGTTCACCTCCAACAAACACCATCAGTTCACCTCCGCCAACAACAACCAATCACGACATCCACTACCATTGTTGAAATCTAATTCTAACCTCAAATCAAAACGAAGAGCTTAAACTTAAAATCTAACCTGCAACTCAAATTCTAACTCAAATCTAAGCGTAACTGAAATTAAAAAGAATCTACCACCTGACTTCAAATCCCACCTCGATTTACACGATTAAAACAAGAATAGGCTTGTTGAATCAATTAGAATTTTGAAACCCAAATGACTTCAAATCATTACTCTCTGTGGAACCAACCCTAAACCCATAAAGAAATTTGATTTGCCATTTGTGTGTTCTTCAAGATTCTCGTTGATGGAAAATTAGTGAATTAAACCTGGGATGTTGGAAAAACGAGACGACAGCCATGGTGCTCTTGGCTTACCCATCTCCGTCACCAGAATCAATTCTGACGCCTACGAACCCACTGCAATCTCAACCCTTCCTCCTGATGTTTCCAGCATCGCCACCGGTCACTACCACTCTCTCGCCGTTACTTTTCAAGGCTACGTCTGGTCTTGGGGTTGCAATGTTGAATCACAACTTGGTCTTAACCTTGATTCCCCTAGATATAATTTCACTTTTCACATACACTGTTCTTTTTTTGCAACAGAGACTGCAGCTATCGGAATCGATGGTTCTATATGGATTTGGGGGAAATCAAATAGGGTCAGTTATGTGTGGTTTGGAATCGGGATCACAGAATTATTTGTGTGATATATGTGCTTTTTCTAAATTTTTAGTGTTTATGTATATGAAATTGGTACAGATGAAGAATATGTGATGACGATGACGAGAGAGAGAGAGAGAGAGAGAGAGAGAGAGAGAGAGAGAGAGAGAGAGAGAGAGAGAGAGAGAGAGAGAGAGAGAGAGAGAGAGAGAGAGAGAGAGAGAGAGAGAGAGAGAGGTGGGTCCTCTATTATTTTTTTAATTGTTAAAATAAATAAATAAGTACTATTAAATTTTAAGAAAAATGAAAAATAAATACCCCAATGGTATTATAGTCATTTCAGTTTTTGGTGGGACTATTTTCACATACAAACCACTCCAAAAGGACCATGAATCCAAAAAACTCAGGGTTTGGACTAAAACCCCAAAAATTTGCATACTACAGGGACCATTTGCAATTAAATAAATAAATAAATAAATAAATAAGGGAAGGTAGGATCGGATCTCGATCACGATCCTACCTACGATCTTATGATCCTAGCTGCGATCTGAACCCAAATACGATCCTGATCGTTTTTCATATTTTTCATATTTAGGATCGTAAGATCCTACGATCAGGATCGCGATTTTGACAACCATGCATTGGACCAAAATAAAAAATAAATAAATAAGTATAGTACAGATCCGAATATGTAGTTTTCTTTTGTTTCTTGTTATTAAACTATTTCTAAATTAAAAGTTTTTAATTGACAAATATAATGTTACATTGAGCTCCATTAATGGAGAGGAGTATCCTGCAGTTTGGTTCACAACATGTTACAGATGAAAGAGAGGAGCATGAAAAGGACAATTTTACTGCTTAATATAACCTGATATAACAATCATTTTGTAATGGTATTTTAAGGGAATGCACTTTACAGCTTGTTTGTGTCCTATGTTCGGATATTTACCTGCAGTTACTATACTATTTGGCACTTTGGAAGTGTTTTTTTTTTTGACAATTTTACCCCTGGTATGATATTGCTATGTATTTTACAGTTTTGTCCCTTGATGGTAATTTTTACAGTTTGTTTTAATGCATCTGTGTAATCTTTATTTTAATACATTTGTATAATGTTTATAGTTTGTTTGTGTCCTATGTTCGGATATTTACCAGCTGGCACTTTGGAAGTGTTTTGTCAAAATTTAAGTTACATTTATAAGTCATTTTCCCTTTTAAACTGAGTTTTTGCATGCATCTAAGAATCTTGGAATAGCTATTGTTGACACTTCAGTTACCTCGGGTAAACACAGGTTTGCTGAAAGATTTGATCAACACATTAAATTAAAAATGAAAATAAAAGCAATAGATAAGGATAACGTATTAATTTTAATTAATTTATATTCTCCTTTGCATCTTAGTCTACATATTGTTGTAGAAACTTTTTGTACGCAATGATCTTTTTATACAAAGCATTACCAACATGTAGGCAATCAAACACATGCAACCAATGATCCATCTTTTGTCCAAAGTACTTTAATTTAATGCATGATGTGACGATCAAATTCCAACCAACTTTTGTATCAAACAATATGAATCTAATGCTCAAAATATGATGCTATATTTGACATATATAATATATAATTGTGCTATTTAAAACAATTATATTGACATATAACTGGAAATATCCTAAGCCATAATGAAATGGTCGAAAAATACGTGGCTATGTCACATAACCTTATTTACACCATTAAACTTAAGTTACTCGATTAAATATATATTTAAGAGTAGCCGCCCTCACTTCCTCTTAAATGGCCTTCCTCGTGATCTCTTCACCACCTTGGTACTGTCGTCTTTACTTTCCATTTCCGCCATCACACGCGGTGGCCGCCCTCTCTTCCTCTTTCGGTACTTCAGTTGCCGGAGCTTTGTCTGTCACCATTTTCTCCACCCGCCGTGGCCGCCCTCTAGGCCTCCTGATAGCTTCAGTCATCGGAACTTTAATTACCCTTTTTCTTGATCACTTTGGCTAGATATAACATATCTTCACTTTTGATAAATCTAAATACGCATTTGTCTCCTTCGTATAATTCATTATCTCGCCGGAAATCAGGCCACCCTGACGACAAATAATACCTTTTAGCTTTCCGACTTCTCTCCAACTTTAAGCTCATCTTCCACTCCTTGCCATCAACATTCTTCATTCTTATCATTCTTTCTTCATTCATTCCGGCCAATCTCACAAACTCTGCTGGAAGCCGCTGATTGATCCATGTTACCAACAAATGCACACAAACTGCAAATATAATTTCAAAAAAAAAAAAATGCAAAGCTAAACAGATTAAGATAGTATTTTTCGCAGATCTTACCAAATAAAACTTGTGGGCTTTAGATATAATCTTCATAAAGAACGGATTCTCTTCAATATCACCACCACCATTGTCATCTTCGCCACCACCATCATGACGACGACCACCGTTATCAACATAATCATCATCCTCGCCTTCTCTTCCTCCTCCTCCTTTTTCTTCTTCATCAACAACAACATCATGTTCAACCTGCATTTTTGTGGGGAGTTCTTTTTCACACCCATCTGGACTGTAAATTGAAAGTTTGAAGGTGGAGTGATGAACGAGTCTAAAGAGAAGAATATCCCCAGTACCCAACTGGGTATCTTTAAGGACGTTGCTCCATCCATCGGCAATGCAGTAAACTTCACCAAAATTTTTGATCTTTAATTTCCATGAATACTCTCCATTTACAGATTGGAGTAATAGGTCCTCAGGTATCTTGTTCTCCAATAGCTTGCTGATAAAACCAGGTGGCAATGGCTGCACGATTTCATGTTAATGGAATTTACACGAAAAAAAGAAAAACAGAGACTAGAGTGTGCAAATGAGTACCAGGTGAGGGCGGGATGGGTCGAGCACGACCTTGAAGAAGGAAGGAAGCAGTGGTGGAGCTATGAGAGGGCCAGGGGGGGCCATGGCCAAAACCCTAGCTGACTTCAGCGATCGCTTTTGCTGACTGCTGTATCGCGACCAGAGATAGCAGCCACTGCCCCGGAGTTGAAAGCGACTATCCGTTCGTCGAACTGCAGTCCGTGTCTCAGTCTGTCGTCCGCGTCGGAGCTTCTCAATTGTGTGTCTGAGTTCGTCGTTCTCAGAACTATACTCCGACCAAAAACATCACCGGTGCTACTCGTTCATTTTCTTCTCTCCTTTTATCTTTGTCTTTCTCTCACTATAAGAAAACAAGAGACATAGTGAATAGTTTTTTTTTGATGGTGTTTAAAACTTAAAGTTAAAAGAGTAAGAAAATAAAAAATACAACTTTTTAAATTAATGAGTCTGCAACACACACGGACACATATAATAATATTTATTGTTTTTGTTGGTTTCTAAACTTTAATGTTACAAAATCTCATAGTAATAGTTTTAGAAAAAATCAATCAGTTTGAACAATTTTGTTTGTTAAACTATATATATAGTTTAAATGTTAATTTTATATTTATAAATTCTTACTTAACAAGTTAACATTATGATTCATTTATTTATTTGTTAATCGTAATATAAAACAACTTTTAGTAATGACATGTCAAAATGCAATTATAACTCCTAAAAAAGACGAACGTCAAAGATACGTATACTACCATAGTACCATATATGTATATGTAATGATTAATATTAGTATTTAATTTTATATTCCTATTCATTCTTTTAATTACTGTAACTTGTAAGAGTAAACTAATTCCATTTTTGGTTTCATACCTTTTTTCCGTTTTAGGAATTGGTTTGAAATTATGATTATGGTCAATTGACATGACACATAAAAAAAATCATAATAAAGTTCAAAATTATAAATGATATTTGCTTAGAAATCAAGACACATGACACCAAAAGATGAAAAATATGCTCCAAAATGATAAAACGCCAAATGAAGTTCGAAATTATAAATTGACATTTTTAGAAATTAAGACTGTAAAGGAATTAAATTAAGAGCAAGCCCAAAAATGTGAGAATTACCAAATTAGGAAGTATATTAATATAAAATTAATTAGAGTTGTTGATATAAAAATAAATTACTAATTTCGTATTGAGTTTGTGCATACATATTGATTTATTTTGTAACTTTTAGATATTGTAACTAGAATTTAAAATAGTTTAATCTATAATTTAACAGAAATTGTATTTATTGATAATAACTAAATAAGTCTAAATTAGCTTAAACCGACAAACTTCAGTTAAGTGTAAAATGTATCATGTCTTATAAACGTGCCTCACCAATAGTAATATTGTTTTCAATTTAATTGTCTTAAATTTTCATAGTTGCGTACGAATTAGTATAAACACGGAATATTAAAATAGTATTCACAAATAAAACTGATTATATTTGTTAACTTTTTATGCTCAATGAATACAAACATTTGAGATACACATCAGGTATGAACGAACTCTCTAAATTATTTCTCACACAAAACTCTTGGAAATTAACTTCACACTGAAATCATCAAGCGCAACATTTAACATAGAAAGTTTACTAATTAATAATAGGAAAATCTACAAATCTCCAAATCAATTAGAATATCTAAATTGTAAAGTGGAAATTATATATATATATATATATATATATATATATATATATATATATATATATATATATATATATATTTCAAGTTTGATTGGAATGGAAATTTCATATATAGTTCAATACATATCGATGGAAGGCAAACAGACAACAAGTTGCGCTGCTAGCCCTTTCTGGATTACAAAATTAATTCTTTTGAAAACAACATATGTGGATCTAAAAGATATAACATTAGAATGCATGACTCATTGGACTCTGTTAAGGAGCTCCACGACCTCTAGTGCGAGAAAACCAAATGTATCAAATGCAAAAGGTACAAACACATGTTGATTTTCTATACATGCATTCTCGTGCTTTGTCACTTTGCATGCCACGGCTTTCAAAGCGGCATGCCCTGCTGTGAAACCCCCGCTCCTCAACCCGATGACAAGAGAGACCCCCGTAAGATCCACACAAGCGTGCTTCCTTCCTACCCATCCAAAGGCCAAAATGTCAGCCGGCTTGAGTGTGGATCTTCCATCATGTGGGTTCGTCAAAAAAGTTCACTGGCGTTTCTTTCTTCACAAAAATATCAGCACACCGACAAGCATCAAAGAAAACATCCCAAACAACATCATGTCGGTACTTGATACTAGGGAGCTCTTTATAATGAACCGCATGTTCCCCAAAAATGTCCAAACATGCCCTGCGGCAAACTGGGCATATCTCGTCAATTGAGAATATAGGAATCATGAGGATGTAACGAAGGATAGTTTGGTACTCCACAAGAGACATATGATGGCTGAGACCATCAATAGGCATAGTTAGCAGAAAACCCTGAGCATGAGGTGTCCGAAGACACTCAAAAACTGCTTTCTGTATAACAGTCATGTCGAAGTTGACTTCCATATCTTTGGCGATTTTGCTAAAAAGGGCACACGCCAATGCTTTTTGGGATTTAGGGGGAGCGGTGTCCTTATTAGTGAAACCGTTACAGTCGAATCCCAGAATCGTATCGTGAAGACGAGTCAAAGCACATAGGTAATCAGAGTCCATACCACATATGCCACTGTTCACGTAAGATGTGGTCTTGTAATGTCCAAGATTAGGCCCTCGAGGCTACAAATGCATAGCAGGAAACCTCGTATGCTGAGTACAAACCTAAACCACCGAAACGAATAGGTAAGGAAGCCAGAAGCCACTGGATCTCTCCAAAATAAGGGGCCTACGCATACCACCATATCCTCGATATACCCGTGCAATCCTTTGTCAAAGAACAAATCTACCTCTTCTATGTGCACCGGTTGACATGTCCTTAAACCAAAGAAAAGTTTTGCAATGCCCATACATGATCGAAGCAAAAGGAGCTCACTCTGCGGGTCACATAGTTGTGGAAGAAGACTCATCAAATCAACAACATTGACTGCTCTCTTCATGGCCAGCCCACTAATAAATCATGCGTCTCTGCTAACCCCCCCCCCCCCCCAAGGAACTTCACCACCAAAGAAGGTCTCTCTATATCCGTTGATGTTTAACTCAAGACCACCAAAGAAGGTCTCCCTACCATCACAGGAGGGCCGAAAAATCTCTGTTTTCTTGATGTTTAACTCAAGACCCAAGCCTGGACCATTCACCCGAATAATGTTCAACACTCTAGCCACCTCCTCTGAATCCCCAATGACAGTCCCATCATCTAGATACCAAGAATGGAGAAGAAGCTTACAATTGTCTTTAATCGTGTGCACAAGCGGGTGCAAAACGAGGACAAAAAGAAGAGGGCCCAAGGGGTCGCCTTGATGCACCCAGTGGCAGACCATATATGTTGGTCTCCTATATAAAGTCTCGCTGCTTGCCCGTATAAGAAATTCACCCACAAAAAAATAGAAGGGCACGTCCTCGTAACCTCGTGGAGCAAGGCTGATCTATCCACCCGGTTAAAGACATTCGAGAAATCCACTGAATTTGGTTTGAAATTATAATTATGAGTCTTCATTTTCGAGTTATATCAAAAAGATGAAATACGACTAAAATGATATAACTCCAAGATATAGTTCAAAATCACAAATTAATCCTTTTTATGGAATTTTGTTTGAAATTCAGATCATGCGTCTCCATCTCCTCGTGACATAAAAAATATAAAATATGGAGTAAAATGAGATAACTCCACGATAAAGCTCAAAGTAAAAAATTGGTCTTTTGTGGAAATTGGTTTGTAATTCAGATTAGTGTCTTCCTCTCCTTGTGAGATTAAAAAGAAGAAAATATGGACTAAAATGATATAACTCCAAAGATAAGGTTCAAGACTACAATTTGACCTTTTCATGGAAATTGGTTTAAAATTAGTATTATGTGTCTTCATCTCAATTTGAATCCATTAGTCGAGGGGGAGCATCTCAATTTGAATCCATTAGTCGAGGGGGAGCTAAATGCAGCAATTCCTAATGATTTAACTGATCAAACTAACGAATGTCATGATGTAAGGGATCATATTTTGCATGCAGGTGAAGGTTTTGAAACGGATGAGATATTCGAAGATGCGCCTTTGGATTTTGATCCTGCATATCCACCACTGGATAAATGGACACGAAGCCGTCCAAAAGAACAGGTTCTTGGTGATCCACGTGTTGGAGTTATGACGCGTGCACAAAATAGATCTAAGAATGAAATACTGGATGTTCATCAGGAATAATGTATGTTCAATGTGTTTATTTCAATAAGACTGATAAAGAAGTTAATGTGATTCGCAATAAGGCAAGATTAGTTGTTAAAGGTTATTTGCAACAAGAAGGAATAGATTATGAAGAAACCTTTTCCCCTGTCGCAAGAATCAAGGCTGTTAGAATTTTTCTTGCTTATGCAACACATAAAGATTTCGATGTATACCAAATGGACGTCAAATGTGCCTTCTTGAATGGTGAACTGGAAGAAACGGTCTATGTCGAACAACCACCTGGTTTCGTCAACGATAAGTATCTTGATTATTGTTATATTCTTGATAAGGCAGTTTATGGGTTGAAACAAGCATCTCGTGCCTGGTATGCAACCTTGACTAATTTTTTTAGAAATTGAAAATTTTAAACAATGCTCAATTGATCCCACATTATTTCGCAAGAAAGTTGGGAATCACCCGATGCTTGTTCAAATTTATGTCGATGATATAATTTTTGGTTCAACTGACCATTTATTGTCGAAGGAATTTGAAGAGTTAATGAAAAGTAAGTTCGAAATGAGCATGATGGGAAAAATAAATAATTTTCTGGGTTTACATATTCGTCCGAGTAGGGAAGGTATTTTCATCAATCAAGAAAAATACACGCGCAACCTGCTAGAAAGATTTGGAATGACGAATAGCACAAAACTGAAAGCACCGATGGTAGTGGGAACACGCTTGAATCCCTCGTTGGACAAGCCAACAGTGGAT